GAGTAGACGCTAAAAAGTGGAAATGCGTAATTCGAGAAAGTGGACCTAGCGGCCTCAACATTAACGGTATGAAGTTGTTGCGGTTTTGTGCAAACAACGGAATGTCCATTATCAACACCTTTTTCGAGCATCAAAAAGTGTATCAGTACACCTGGTACTGGGAAGGTTGTACACAGAAGTCGAACATTGATTTGATAGTCGTATCGTCTGACCTAAGACGCTCAGTAATGGATGTTCGTGTTAAAAGAGGCGCAGAGCTTTCAACCGATCACCATCTTGTTGTTGGCACGCTGCGCTGTAAGAAATGGAGTATCATACGATGATCTGGTGGCAAAAGCAACCAGAGAATCAAATGGAAAAAATTTATCTTCGATGGACCCGATAGGGAAATTTGCAAATGACATCGCACGACGGTTCGAACAGATCTCAGTGGTGACAACTGATATTGAAACCGAAGGGTAGTTCTTTAACAGCGGCATACTCGAGGCTGCCACCGAATGTTGGGGATTTAAGCATGTTGGCCTGCCGTCTGGAGGCCAGAAAAGATCTTCATGGTGGACACGAGAGGTACAACTGGCAGTTAAAGAGAAAAAAGCCGCGTTCAAGAAATGGCTTGGAAACAAGGAGCCATCTACACGCGTGCGATATGTCGAGGCACGCAAGGCGGCAGCCATAGCAGTGGCAAAAGCCAAAGCTGATTCCTGGGAGAAGTTCGGTGAGGTGTTGGAGTCGAATTTCCACACGGCAGACAAAGTATTTTGGCAGACCATCCGCCGGCTACGAGATGAAAAGAAGGACAGTCTCAAAGTCTTAAAGGACAGATCTGGACACCCTCCTACCAATGATGAAAACATTCTTCGGCGATGGAAGGAGTATTTTGATGAACTCCATAACTCCGCGCAACCTCAGGAAGACTCCCTTGTGGAGCAGCAGGGAACGGATATTACTGTCTCTGTAGATGAAATTACACAAGCTGTGAAAAGCTTAAAAATGGAAAGACTGCTGTAATTGATGAAATCTGTCCTGAAGTGCTAAAAGCATTAGGCGAACAAAGCATGTACTGGCTCTCAGGTGTTTGTCAAACTGCATGACTAGGGAAAGACACCAGCTGACTGAAGAATAGTAGTTGCTGTACTCCTGTTCAAGAAGAGAAACCACAGAGAGTGCTTCAGTGATCAGGGCATTACCTCACTGAGACTCCCGGAAAAAATTTATGCAAAAGGTGCCGGAAAGGAGGTGTCGCGGAATAACTGACTTAAAGATAGAAGAAGGGCAATGTGGCTTCGTGCGCGGTCGAAGCACCTCTAAGGATATTATTGCCGTGCGCCTATTGTTGATAAATCGTGAGCGTACGCCTGTTCGGTGTACATGTGTTTTGTGGACCTAGATAAAGCTATGACCGGATCCAACGCAACAATCTGTGGTGATGCCTTCGAGCATACGGGATATATGGCCAACTGCTAAAGGCCATCCAATCACTGTATTTTGATAGCAGGTGCTGCGTCAGAGTTAATGGCGTTAAGTCGAAAGCATTCAATGTTCGCACTGGTCTCGCCAATGCTGCGTCCTGTCCCCTACCCTGTTTGTGTTTTACATGAATAGAATAGCCAGGAGCTGCCAAGGCGATGGCTGCATCGGTGTAGTAGATGTAAAGACGAGAAGGTTGCTGTTTGCAGACGACCTTGTTTTATTGGCTTTTTCTGAAATTGATCTACAGTGCTCCCTAGCAAAGTTCACATCTGAATGCAACGTGACCGGCATGCATGCGAAAATATTTAAAACGAAAAGCCTAGTGCTCTCTTCAGAATAACCGAGAGGTAGTGGAGAAGGTGGGAAAGATGAAACACTTCTGAATCGTATTTTTTAGTGATAGAAACTTTGAAGACTAGATCGGCCGGCGAGTTAGAGTCGCCGGTTTCGTTTTGCTTGAACTAGCCCGAACCATTGTGATTAAAGCAGAGCTGAGTGTGAAAACTAAGCGATGGTTACATACCGTCATGAGTCGTGGACCATAACTGAGAAACTTCTAACTTAGGTACAAGCTGCTGAAATAGGCTTTCTGAGACGAGTCGCTGGCCTTACGCTTCTGGACATGGTCCGGAATATTGATATCCGGAAGAGCCTTGGTATACAACCTTTGCTTATCCAGATTGAGAAGTCACAGCTGCGATGGCTTGGGCTTGTGTTGCGAATGCCTCCAGAAAGGAAGGCTAAGCAACTGTTTCTTGCGAATCTGACCGGCAGAAGATCCAGGGGGACGGCCAAGATTAACCTGGTGCAAACATATGGAAGGAGTCTGTTCCAGACTCCATTTGTTTTTTTGCCGAAGCTCAGACTCTGGCAAAGGATGGGGAACGATGGAAGCTCTGTCTGACGCGTCTGTCTCCGCGACTCGAAAGAAAAAGTGGTCAAAGAAAAAGGAAAAGAAGAAACAGAAAATGATGATGATGAGAAGATACGACATGCATATTCATGGTGAGGAACATCTGATTTGAGGTCATATGGAGGCGACAAAGGCGTTTGTCTATCTTTCAAAATGTAGCCTTTTCAGCGCCTTCTTAACTTTCTTTTTCATTAAGGTAGAGAGTTTCATCTTCAGTTTTGAGTGCAGATGGCACGATGAAAGAATTTCTTCACACCATTGATTAGAACGATTTCGCAATGCTCTTTAAAAACGTAACTACATATGTCACGCGGTAGCAGCCACATTTTATTGACCAGAATTTTAGCTCATAGTTAGACGGGTATGACAAAGAGTATAGCAGATTTGCTACATTTTGCTTCAACTGCTGCTTCAGATTAAGCCACAACAAATATCAAGTATTTATTTTACGGGAAGAGAGAATAACAAATGAAAAGGCAAGATACTGCAGCTGATGCAGATTGGCTACCAGTTTCTGTTGGTTGCACTTAAATACAATGCATGAACTCCTTGCTGAAGAGATCAGCGTTCAGTAAGAACCTTTTCCTCAGGACACCTTTATAACTGAAACTCTCCGTCCGTGAGGGACGAATACAGATTATTTACGTTCCCCTTTCTGCCAAATCGAGTCTCACATCTAGTAGCAAAATTCACCGATACGTTTTAGCCTCATTTGGGAAATGATGGCACAACCAGTGCTAGCCACTTTTCAATAAAGAAGAGCACTTTTTACCTCTGAACCTGACCAACTGCCATCATTATCTTTACTTTGTGCAGAATCTTCTGATCCTAACTTGCTGATCAGCCAGCAGAATAGCGTGTCGGATGAGTTTATGCTGAAGCGATTAATTCAGTAATATATTGCCCTATCGAACAATACATTTTGTTGTCTACCCTCAACGCCACACAGTTGCATTCTTCAATCTTTGTGTTTAAAACATGTATTGACACATTTTCATGAGTCATAAACCATAACTAAAAAACTTTTATCCCGGGAGCCTGCAGCTGAAATAGGCTTTCTCATTTACGAATCGCTTACTTTACGCGTCTCCACGTGGTCCGGAGTACAGAAATCTGCGAGAGCCCTTGCGTACAGCCCCCTGCTTCTTCAGATTGAGAAGCCACAGCTGCGAATGCCTCCAGAAAGGAAGACTAAATAACTACTACTTGCTCAGCTGACCGGGAGAAAACCCAGAGGACGGGTAAGATTAACCTGGTGCAAAAATATGGAAGAAGTCTGCTCTAGAGTCCGGTGCCTCCTGTCGAAACTCACTCTGGCACAGGAGTCAGGAACGATAAAAACACTGTCTGACCAGTCTGCTTTTGCGGACGAGAGCAGATGCGGCCATGGAAAGTGAAGGTGAAGCATACTCGCTGTGTTAAGCAAGTTATGTCACGCATATGTGGCGGAAATTCATTTTTTCCTGCTAATCGCAGGCAGCTGCGAGAAAAGTATTTAATCAACCATCCAATGATTGAGGGATGGATGGCTAGCGTGTATAGCTTTCTAAGCACTTTGCCAGTGAGAGAACGTTTAAGGCAAAATTAAAATCGAGAATTAGAAATTTCGTTATTCATCACCATTTATCGAGTTGCGACGCAGCTTGATCTGATCAATTTGGCAATTACATCGTCAATACCCGTTCTTCTTTGTACATTAGCTGATAATAATACAACACAACGGTTACAACATGTTCCACAATTGGTTAAATTGTGCTAAAAATTTGTATGTAATTGGATATGACATTCATTGACATAGCAATGTCTCCACTTCCAAGAAAAAGTAATTAGTGAATGCCGACATGAAATACTTCAAGCTATACCTGCAGATCTTTAATTGCCCTAACTAGTAACGATATCGAAGCGACGTGCGAAATGGCCGGCTCTGCATTAAAGCGATTAATGGCGGAATATAAACGTATGATGGGTTGATTGGTTTTTTAACCTTTTCTAATAAACCGCAGGCGCAGCACTAAAGAACTTTGGATCGTTTGGTGTTTTCCGTTGATTGACGCAGAAGGCCTGCATTGCTCATTCTTTTACTGCTGAACAAAGCGAATAATGTATTCGCTAAAAATGTTTAATTGCGCTTAGTAAGAAAGTTTACTGAAGTTTGCCGGTTATTGTGTTTGGATAAAAAATAGCATAAATGGGGTATATTTATATATACCACCAGAGATATGCCGTTTAAGGCTGAAATGAATAGTTTGGCGAGGTGACGAGGCGCGAGGGAAAGTGAATAGATTAGATTGTAAATCATTTTGATTATTTTTTCTTTATTGCCTAAATATCAGAGGCAATCATTATACGCTTAATTTTTGGTTAGACAGTAGATCGACCTGATACAAAATAATGCTCCATACCTAAACGTTAATTGTAATGTGGCAGCACCGCGTATGAGGTCGGCATTGAATTCGGTGGTGCCTTCTTAGGTTCCGCTCCAAGGACCACCTTTGTCAATACCGTGTTTTCTCTTAAGTAAGGAATCAACCCAACGTTATTTCGAGAAATGTACAGTAAGTCTGATGACTTGCGAATATCGGGGTCAGCATGGTATTCTGTTCTGGTTATGCCAGAATGGACGAGTTATGCGACCATGATGTCCGATGCGAGGGCACCTTGTGGCTGCATTTCGCCCTAACCCACCTGATGGACGACTGTCGCGTGCAGCAATCAGTGCCAAGTGTAATGATGATTTCGATTAACATTAAAATACTGGCTATATCTCACGTGAAAAGCAGCCATTCAAGCAGAAATTTTGTTACAGATCGAACGTGATTTTAAGCTCGTTATCATAGAATTTCATAAAAGAGAGTTTATGTCGGAATGAGGGAACTTCGATAAAGCAGTGTGCTAGAGAACATGCCGACGTGTTTTACACACTTTGAGTTAATCTTTTGCAAGCCTTGTGAAAGGCTGGACATAACAAGAGTACTAACTTAGGCCGATCATATTGTTGAAATACAACTGTAAACAAACAGATTTCAGTGGTATTGCTTAAATAACGAATGACTACTCCAAAATCAGATTCCATGGCACATTAACCACCCCCTTTTCTCCTAACTTCCTGGGGAAATTTAAACAAGCCACGGTGTGCTCACATGGTATTTGAGCACCTGCAATGCCAGATGTATCTCGCATCATTTTGTCCAGGAGAGCTATTTCGCACTCGTCACAAATGATGTTTCAGGAGCTGCTACC